AGGTACACCATTTTATTCAGTAAACAGTGTTAATACTAGCATAATATTTGTCAAGGAGATGTAAACTAGACTTGCATCTTTCTTGAGGTTAAACGAAAATTCATGCACCTAAACTGGGGACTGTTTCCAAGAAGTGAAAGTATTCATGTTTCTTTATCTTGTTGCTTTCTAAATCGCAGGTATTTTGGAGGAATTAAACTTGGCACTGGCGGTCTAGTTAGAGCTTATGGAGGAGTAGCTGCAGAATGTTTGAGAAATGCTCCTACGTGTCTCATAAAATCTAAAGTAATAAACTAATTGCTTGAGCAGCTTTCTGCCCCTTGTCCCTTGCCCATCTTGTATAAGCATAGTTTCAAACTCCACTTTTAATGCTGATCCTATTCTTCTCATTTCATTCTTCGCTTTTAGCATAAACTCGAGACCTACTCATGATTAGGCAATACTTTTGGCTTCAGGTCCCGATGGGCTTGGAGGTTCCTTTTGACCTGTTAGGGGTTTTATACCATCAGGTAAGTTTTTATGTGTGAAAAATGCTAATATTTGTTGCTGTTGCTCTATTTATATTCTCTAGTAGTGTTTGATTCTTCTGTTCCCGTTCCTTTTCGGTCCATTCTCTTAATCAAAAGCTGGACGCATCAAGAGCATAATTGGTGCATGTTTACTATATGGTAGTGCATTTCTGAAGATCTGTTTTGTGATGTGCAGCTACAGTCTTTCCAAGCGGAGGACATCAAGCAGGATTATGATACCGGAAAAGATGGAGTCACCATGGTCACTTTTAAAGTTGACTTTGACCGTGTACAAGGTTTAGAGGAAGCTATTAAGGCCAACTGCAGCCGTGACATTGTATTCTACAAAAGCTAAGAGTTTGCCATATCAGTTTGTTTGGTGGTTTTGGTTCCATCTTGCTGGAACTTATGGAGATCTTAAATACCTTCTCATCCAGAAGCAAGCTGCTCGTCAAGATGGATAATAACATTCACTCTTTTCTGATAGGTTCAAAGCATTGCTCTTGTTCATTCCAAAGTCTGAGCTAACAATTTAGTGAGTGGATTAGCTTCATTACCTGATTGATACACTCTAGCTGGAAGTAGATTGCACTTTCCGTCTCCTTTTTTTGGTTTCATTCTGTGATTGGGAGTCACTATAGGAAGGACCTTGAAAGCTGAGAGGTGGATTGTCCTCATTTGCTTTCATGTTTATACAAATTCCAGAAATTTATACTTGTACATCTACTGATACTTTTGTTTTCAGTTCTTATGAATAAGAAATGGATGTCTATACAGTTTACGAGCTTAGTCTATAACCGAACTTAGTTTTAAGTATGATCTGTCTGCAGAAAGTGTTGACATCTGTTAATGGCTAACAGCTAATAATGGTGAAAGGAAAACTAATGTCATAAGATATCATGTATAACCTCTGTGATTATCATATTTGAAATCTTAACTTGTGATACAAAATCTAAGAAAAAAATGTGCAGTATCCTGAATTTTCTTTTGAACTGGTGTTTAACTATAGGTAGATGGTAACATTTAATGCAGTGAAGAGCCTTAAATTACAGTGATGTGATTGACACCGGCTTATGTTTCTAGAATTGATTGGTCTCTTCATGTGCCCGAGCTGAGAGTATCCAGTTGCATTTGAGTTATATATCATTTCTTCTTCGTGAGGTTTGAGTTATTTACATGTTGATCCGCATTTTCGGACGTATGGTTCATAAGCTATGCAAACGCTGCAGTATAGCTATTCTTGTGGTATTCAGAAATTGTGAGACCAGGTAATTCATCTATAGTTCATATTTTGTGATAATTACGTAGAAGAGTGGAGAAAGCTATATGATACTAAAGCCTGTATCCTCATTTCCTCATATGTTTGTGGAATGTATTGTAATTGATCTCTTTGTTCTGAGGATATGATCAACATGTTTTCCTTTTCATCTGCAAATTGGAGCTGGAGTAATGCTTGCGTTCGGTGAAAGTTCAAGGTAAGATTGCAAAATAGTATATCATTGTTGGTATTTTCTGCTAAAATTTGAATGCTGATAACTGATTGCCGAGATCCTTGTTTGATTCTGCCTTTGATATTGTCTCTTGATGCTGAGGAATTTAATGCTAGGTCATTGTTCGGTGATAATACTCTGTACTACTTTCGTTATAGGCTCTAACCATGTGCAAACAAAATGCAATCAGTTTCTTGTTCATTTGTGGTATCCGCTCTGTGACTTCGATTTTGCTCGTCATATTTTGACTTTTAACACTTGAAAGCATAACTTGTTTAATACTTGTTGAGGAACTTATTGGTTCATATGTGGACTTTTTTGTATTGAAATTAATATAGTAAGGATAAATTTATGTCTGAGATTATCATATATTAACTCCAGATTTTGATTTTACGCATATGCTTGTGGTTCTTTTAACCTTATTGAGGGATATCAATTTCAATTTTATCAGCTTGTATGTATCTACTTTGCCCCCGATACTATGGTATAACTCTTGTTGCTAGTATTATATATAAAACTATTATGGATTGATCAAATGGAACAATATAGAATCAATCCGTAGATTAGTCTATTTTGTGCAGCATTCTCTGAATGCTGAATCTCATTATTGAAAATGTATCCAAATTTTGTCAGCTGTTGTATTCCCTTAGTTTTGTTTGTCACTGAAGATAGAATTGAGTTCTAGTGCCCTATTGGTGAAATGAAAATCTGAGGATACAGCAGATGTATTTGATTTCTAATAGATCCGTTGATGGACATTGGTCCTAGTTTAACCCCAAGCGCTAGCTCATAATATGAGGACTGCCCAAGACTATTTAAGGAGTCAAGCGACCTCATCCCATAATGTGGGACTCCGATAAGATCCCTCATTCCTAGCTCTCTGTATATATGGACTAGTGATGAGTGATGCTACCTCTTGATTATCCTCTAGGATACTCTGAGTATTCTGGTTGGGCGTCTTTCAAACAGTGGCGGAATCAGGAGTTCTGACAAAGGGATTAAAAAGAATAAGAATAAGTCAAATACGAGATTTGAACCTGTTATTCTCTTTTGTCAAGTGGATTCAAACATTCATGTATGTGCAAAAAAAATTGTTTGTACCCTATTTGTACAGTATATCGGAAAACTTTCCGATGAAGAGTATTCTATTGAATCCCTTTATTTTATGTCCGAGTTAGTATTTGTTTTGTCAATCTTTTTACGGGTAAATTTCACAAATTGTCATATAACTATGACTTTTTTTTTTTTTTTTTTTTATCAAAATCATACTCCTATAACTTTGTTTTCTCACACAAAAATCATATAACTATGATTTTTTTTCATCAAAGTCATATAACTTTTTCTCACACAAAAATCATAAAACTTTCACTATCTCACACAAAAAACATGATGGTCGAAAAATAAAATTTTCAGTAATATTTTCTTATTTTTTATTTTTTATTTTCAATCTAATAAATAATTATCCAATTAAAATAGGAGAAATATGAGTATTTTTAGCTGTTCTAAAAAATAATAGCCGNTGTGTGTGTGTGTGTGTGTGTGTGTGTGTATTATATACATATAATATGCACATTCCATATATATATTTTGGGCTAGCAAATGCAATTAGTCTCGGTCGGCCGATTAATTTTATATTTTTCATTTATAATAGGAATGATCCAACCCATTTGACCCAATATTCATATACTAAGTTAAAATAATACTAAAAGTAAATTCATGAGATTCTGACTATAAAACAAGGAAATAAAGGTATAATTAGAGAGCACTTGAAATAAAAATGCTATCGATTGAATAAAAATCTTGAAAAGAAAAATAAAAGATAGAAGTATTATGTTTTGATGGATTTATTATTCACTTTTAGTATTATTTTAATTTTTATATATGAGTATTGGGTCGGGTGGATCAGGCCGGGTTGACTCATCCCTATTTTAATTGGATTATTATTTATTAGACTGAAAATAAGAAAATAAAAAACCACAAAATAAGAAAATACTGTAATAAAAAATTATATTTTCCAATCACTATAATTTTTCTGGGAATTAGTAAAAGTTTTATGATTTTTGTGTGAGAAAACATAGTTATATGACTTTAGTGAAAAAAAGTCATAATTATATGACTTTAGTTAAATTTTTTTTATAGTTATATGATCATTTGTGAAATTTACCCTTTTTGCACGTTGAAACACAAGAGTAGTTTGATAAAAAGACATCCACATGTCCTTTCCATTTCATCCTCCAAAGTGGAGCTACAACTATTGAAGTCGGTTAGTCTAATTGAATTACTTTATCGAAAAATTATATTGCGTAAATAGAAAAAGGGCAGCCCGATACACTAAAATCTCGCTATGTGCAATGTCCGGAGAAGGGTCGGATCACAAACAGTGGCGAAGCCAGAAAATTCAATAAGGGTGTTTAAATTTTGAACACCTTTGCAGTGGGCTATGCAAGGGTGTTCAAAATCTATTTTTAATCAATAACAAGTAATATTTTACCTTATACATAGTATAATTTTTCGGCGAATGGTGGTTAGTTGACCACCCTTGGGCCAACATAGCTTCGCCCCTAATCACAAGGGTCTCTATTGTACGCAGTCTTACCATGCATTTCTGCAAGAGTCTATTTTCACGGCTTGAAACCCATAACCTCCTCGTCACATGGCAACAATTTTACATATTTAAATATATCTTTGAATCCTCTCCTTCAAGTACAATATTTTCACATTTTCTTAAAATCAATTTGTCAGAAATTTTGACTTGCACCACTTCTCTGCTTATCTCTTGAAAATGAGATGCAATGATTAACAGAACAACCCAAGACACCAAGATAGACTATATGAAGATAGTGACAAATGTTTCCTTCTAAGCAGCATTACCTAAATTTCCAGATGTAAAGCCTTCACATCTTCCACGTAGCTTAGCTAAGCTTACTCTGCTTCCTTCACAGCTTGCAGTAGCAAATTTTCTTCTTCAGTTCGTCATCCAATGGAAAAACCTTCTAAAATTATAGAGCCTAAGTCAGAGTTTATATCTTGTAGTGGGATGTTTTCAGTATAAATTAAGGCTCAGTTGAAAGAAAGTTTCATTCTACTCTCAAAATTGAAGTCTTTGGTTTTGGATACTGAAGAAAGTTACAAGATATGAAGCTCAGTAGTTCTCTACTTCTTCTAGCACTTTTATGTGCATCCCTTTTTCTTGCTTCAACTTTAGCAGCTGATGAGAAATCTCAAAATGAGAAAAAAGGTAATGTGTACAGTACTTCTAAAGATTAATTAATTAGGTCAGATTTAGACAGTAGTATTATTTCTATTTTGCTTAAACATATACACTATTGATTTCTTGGTTTACTTAAATATAGTTTAGTTTATAAATTAGTTCTTTTTCATCCGTCTTGATGTTATATTATTGCGAACTAATCTTTCATGCACTGACAAGAAATAAAAGATAGGAGTACTTTATATGACTTCCTCTTCCCTGTTTCTCACTTTACGTTAAGTTCTTTCTTTTTGACCTGTTTTAAAAGGAATAATATCTTTTTATATTTGAAAACTCTTTGACGTTGATTTTTCGTTCTTATAATTATAAAAATGTCATAACATAAAAACCACAACTGAGAATATTTTTGATACATGTCAAACTTTAGTCTTTTCTTTTAAAATTAACCATATAGAATACATGTCAAACTTTAGTCTTTTTGTAAATTACTTAGCAATATTAGTTCCATGCATGCACTGAGAAATACAATATGTTGTATGTATGTAGCAGCAAATGAAGGCCAATCAACTGTTCAATTAGATGCCGCAAAACAAGGCCAAGGCGGCTATGGAGGCGGAGGTCATGGCGGCTATGGAGGCGGTGGTCATGGAGGTGGTGGTCATGGAGGCGGCGGCTATGGAGGTGGCGGTCATGGAGGCGGTGGTCATGGAGGCGGTGGCTATGGCGGTAGTGGCCATGGCGGAGGATGCAGATACGGGTGCTGCGGCGGATATGGGAGAGGAGGAGGCTGCAGGTGTTGCTCTACTGCTCAAGAAGCTCTGGCCTACATGCAAAAAGAAGCCAATCGCCCATAAATGAAGAACCTAAACAACTTAATTCTAAGTGCTTTTGTAATAAGTCCAAATAAAACTACGTACGTTTCTTGATTTCTAGCTTTTAGCGTAATGCAGTTGCATGCATGTGTACTGGAAATGATATAGTAGCAAATATGCAATAAGTATCAGTATTTTATTCTCTCCATATCCGTCCCTAATTTTCCTCCATAAATGTTCCCATAATTTCCTCAAGCTCGAACAAACAATTCTACGAGCCATAATTAGATTTTAAAAAAATAAATTAAAGTCCCACTGCATGGTGCATGCTTTTATTGATCAGAAAATTACAAGGAGGGGGATATATTCTTACCTCCATACAAAAGGTGAAAGGGATCCGGCTCCCCTCCTTTATAGAATCTCTCCAATTTCACCCGTGTAAGTCTAATTTAATGACATATGTCATTTTTCACATCCAAAGGCCAATACTAAATTAATCCCTAAACTATGGTTAAAACTAAATATTCCTATAATTTAGCCTTTCCTTAAATGTTTCCTTTACTTACAAGGATATTGGGATACCGTATCAGCAAAATCAATCCTTTCATGGATTTTTTATTTTTATTATTTTTCATGAATCACATCTCCAAATTGTTAAACTTTTTTCTCCCCAAATTTCAAATTCCTTCAAATGAGATAGTATTTTCACAAGCATCATAACATTTTTATTTTCACAGGGACAATTTTATTTTTGTTCTTCCACCTTTTTTGTTTCTTGGAAACCAAATAATTTATTTTTTGTCGCAGGCAATTGGTTGCATTGAGAATTTTTTTTGGTTGAAGTTAATGTGAAGAAGAAATAAATGGTTTAATCTTTTGTTTTTCTTCATTCTCGCGCCAAAGAATCGTTTCCATTGATAAGAAAATATTTTTCCAATCAAAATGAAATTCCCAACAAGATTTTCGGATAGTTGATTTCGCTTTTCAATTTTTGATACTAACCCAACAAGAGATTGTAGTTTAATCATGGTTTAGTCTAAATAAATTTTGGCCCTTGGATTTGAAAGATGATATATGTCATTAAATTAGACATGCACGGATGGAAATAGAGAGATACTGTACATGAGTTGAGCCAAATCCAGGTGGAAGATATGAAACAAGGCATATGATATATATAGGTAATATCAACCAGAGGCGGATCTAGAGTATTAAGAGTGAGTTTGTTAGAATAACAGGCCCAATTCATACAGCCCCAAACGTCTCTGAAGATGAAATAGAGCCAGGTCCACACACTTGACAAATTTGTAGTTTTGTAATGTTATTTTATCAATAGACACAAATGCAATAGATAGCCATTTTTTATTGTTTAGTATAAATAGACAAATAAGGGTTAAGTTGTACACGGGATATTATTGAATATATAGATTTCATCTCATCTCTGTATTTTAGCTCTCTCTAGAACACTCGATCTAGGATTTTCTTCCAAAGAAATTCATGGATACTTCCTCGTTTATCATCATTTTAGCATAGTATCAGAGCGAATCCTGGTGATTATTGCTCTAATCTGAGTGTTCATTGGAGAGATTCGAGTTCTCTGGTTCCGACGATTTCGAAGGCTTTTCTCGTTTTTTTTTCGATTTAGAGTCTTCGACTGGGTTTTTCATTCAAATCTCTCATTCGACGAATCCTATGGAGATCCCGAGTCATCCTCGCTGATCGATTTCACAACAAATTGCCTCATAAAGATCAATCAGAAACTAGGGTTTTCTGTCATCATCGATCTTCGCATGCAGTAACATTCTTCTAAACCTATCTCTTTGAGCTTTTCTAGTTGATTAGTTTAGATATTGAATTGTAGAAATCATGACTCTGGATAATGATTCAGTTGAGCAATCTGGTGTTTCAATAACATTAGTCCTCGATCCCTTTCACCCTCTTTATCTTCACCCTTCTGATACTCCAGGAACCATGTTAGTATCTGTGCCCTTCACTGGCACATGGTTTGGGGATTGGAAAGAATGGATGCTCATTTATCTGTCTGCAAAGAACAAGGTCCGATTAATTGATAGATGTATAATTCAACCTACAACTAATTCTTCTATATATCCTCATTGATAATGATGTAATAATATGGTTAAAGCATGGATAATGAATTCACTCTCTAAGGACATAGCCAAAACAATCCTCTATTATAAAACTGCTAGAGAAACCATAATCTTGTGAAAAGATATGGTGTTGCCAATATTTCCCAATATTATAGCCTTCAACAATCCATTTCTTCTACATCTCAAGGATCATATGTTATTGCCACCTATTATACTAAACTCAAGGCATACTAGGATGAAATATATACAATCTCTTTAGGAAGGCCTTGTACATGTGGTGCCATGCATGAATTCAGTGAGGCACAGAAACTCATTCAGTTCCTATCAGGGCTAAATGAAACTTACTCCACTGTTAAGAGTAACATTTTAATGATGAGTCTTGTTCCAAGTGTGGAGAAGGCATATTCTATTCTGATCAGAGATGAGAAGCAAATGAAAATTAATTCTAGTTCCCAACCTTTTTCTTCTGATTCCACTTCTTTCATAGCCAACTCCAATTCCAATTCTGGTCCTAATCAACCAAATACCACCAGAAATTTTACTCAGAGGGTGAACTTTGAACCTAGGAGAACCACACTAACTTACAAGTATTGCAAAAAGCCTGGTCACACTGTAGACAAGTGCTACAAGCTATATGGATTCCCACAAGATTTTAGATTTACCAAGGGAAAAAGGGTTGCTGCCTGTGTCCAGATTGAGTCAACAAATCAGACTTCACCCAAGCCTGATTCATCCCAAACTGAAGACATTCCACATGGGTTTTCCAAGGAACAATATGCTCATCTTATGTCTCTATTCCATCAGATGCAGATGTCTTCTCCAAATCAACAGTCTACATCTCAAGACTATCCAATCTATGCAAATATTGTAGGTTGGCATGACAATCCTGTTAGTAGGTTATATGGTTATCTTGTATGTCATGCTAGCCATAACAATTTTAGCTCTTGGATCCTAGATTCAGGAGTAACCAATCATATGACACCTCATAAATACCTACTTCATGATATACAACCTTTAATCTCTCCTTCCCTTGTTACTTTACTAAATGGATATAATGTAAAAGTTACTTCTTTTGGATGTCTTTCCCTATCCACTAGTATCATTTTAACTAATGTATTATTGGTACCTTCCTTTCACTACAACTTAATTTCTATACACTAACTTCTTTCTCAACTCAAATGCTATGTACTCCTTACTAATATTTCATGTTGGTTATAGGGCCCTTCTCCGAAGAGGCCATTCAAAATTGGTAAGGTTGAGCATGGACTATACATTATGAGATTGTCATCTCATGGTATTGCTGCAGTTGATCCTTCTCAAGCAAATGCCTGTCCAATTTCTTCTTTTCCTAAATCTGATTCAATTCCTATTTTTTCTGTTCATGATTCTGTAGTTGATAGTTCTAATGTTGTTCCAGTTGCTTGTAATTCTAGTTCTATTAATAAAAATGATGTACTCTGGCATAAAAGAATGGGACATATACCTTTTGTAAAAATAGTTTCTATTCCTCATTTGTCTGGAAAATTTTCTTCTAGACAATCTTTCACATGTACTATATGTCCAATGGCTAGACAACAAAGGCTACCATTCCCTGAAAGCTCCATACACTCTGACAGACCTTTTCAACTTGTACACATTGACCTATGTGGGCTTTACCACACTGCTACATATAATGAATTCAGATATTTTCTGACCATTGTAGATGACTACAGTAGGGTCACCTGGACACATCTCCTTTCCTGTAAAGGTAATGCATTTTCCATCATCAAATCCTTTATTGCCATGGTGTGTACACAATTTTATGCTTCTATTGAAACTATCAGAACTGATAATGCATTTGAATTAGGATCTGCTCATTCACATGCTTCATATCTCACTTCTCTTGGCATTTCACACCAAATTTCTTGTCCACACACTCCTCAACAAAATGGAATAGTAGAGAGGAAACATACACATTTGTTAGAGACTGCTAGAGCCCTTCTTTTTCAATCCAAACTGCCTGCCAAATATTGGGAGGAGTGTGTCCTTACTGCAACTTACCTCATCAACATATTACCTTCCACTATTCTTTCTAACAAAACACCATATGAAGTATTACTTGATCATCCTCCTAAATATGGTCACCTCAGATCATTTGGATGCCTAGCATATGCAACTTTTCCCCATCCTTCCAGGGATAAACTGTAATCTAGAGTTATTCCTTCTGTGTTTTTAGGTTATGGTTTTAATAAAAAAGGTTACAAGTTGCTGAATTTGGGAACCAAGTCTATCTTCTATTCCAGGGATATCACCTTTGTTGAGCATATCTTTCCATCTACTTTTACACCTTCTGGTTTCTTTCCTTCTTCTACTTCCTCCTTTTTTGATCACATCACTCCTAATACTATTCCTACTTTTACTTCTTCACCATTTCCCTCTTCTGATCCTGCTACTACCTCTTCTGATCCTTTTCATACTTCTGATCATGCTACTTCTCCTTCTTCACCCTTTCATTCTTTTGTTTCTTCTCCTGAACCTGGTTCTGTTCCTTCACCCAATATTACACACAACACATAAATTCCTATTTCTGCTCCTTCCTCTTATCTTCTTTTAAGAAGATCCTCTAGGTCTACCATCACTCCTAACTACCTTAAGGACTATATTTGCTATGTTGTTCCTCCCACTACTTCTGTCATTTCTTCATCTTCCTCTCAATCTACTTCACCTACCACTTTACTTGAACCTTCTTTCTACCATCAAGCTGCCAAAAAAATTGTAAATTTATAGTTTAAAATAAGCCATAATTATTTGTCGAGTTGTAAATCATCTCGTTAAGAGTAAAAATAAAATATTTAAAAGTAATTTTTTTAAATATAAAAATTATTATTTTTTGCCAAATATATAACATTGATAAATGAGATTTTTACATTCCTATACACTATTTGAAACTTTATTACCCTCCCTACTCAAGTTTCAATTTAATTACATCATATATACAAATTTACCAATTATATACACTTTAAAAATTAAATAAGTATCTATTTATATTAGGAATAAATTATTTCGCATCCTTATTCTCTCGCAAAAATCTGATGGTAGCATTGAGAGATACAAAGCCAGGTTGGTCATTAGGGGGGATACTCAACAGGCTGGTGTTGATTATTTTGAAACATTCTCACCAGTGGTCAAGTTCACTACCATTAAATGTCTACTTGCTTTGGCTGTCAAATCTTTTTGGCTTGTATACCAGTTTGATGTAAACAATGCATTTTTGTATGGGATCTCTCCGAGGAGGTGTACATGAAAGTTCCTCTTGGCCTCACTGTCTCTTCTTCTTCTTCTGGTCCTCCTTTGGTATGCAAACTCAAGAAATCATTGTATTGTCTCAAACATGCATCAAGACAATGGTTTGCAAAATTGTCTAATGCTCTCACTTAAATGGGATATTCCTCCAGCCTTAATGACTACTCACTATTCTCTAAAATCACTCCCAGCTCCACTGTTTTTATTGCTGTTTATGTGGATGACATACTGTTGGTTGGCAATGATACCTCTGAGTTGGACTCTATCAAATCCTTTTTAGACAACCAATTCAAGATCAAAGATTTAGGTTCTATTCACTATTTTCTGGGACTTGAAGTTTCTCATCTGCCCCAAGGATTGCTGGTTAATCAGCACAAGTATCTCAAGGAGCTCCTTACTGAGTTTCATTGTGACTCTGCTTCTCTTGTTGTTACATCATTGGACATGTCTATCATGCTCACTCCCACTTCTGGTGATCCATTGGCTGATGCTTCCCCTTATAGAAGGCTCATAAGAAAGCTAAACTTTCTTCAACACACAAGGCCAGATATCTCTTTCTCTGTTCAACACCTAAGTCAGTTCCTTAATGCTCCTCGAACTGCTCATATGTAAGCATGACTTCATGTTTTGAGATACTTGGCTAAGGATCTGGCTAGAGGAATTCTCCTTAACAACAATTAGGATTTTTCAGTCATTGCTTATTCAGACTCTGACTGGGCCGGGTGTCCTTCTTCTAGGAAGTCTGTAACTGGTTATTATGTCACTCTTGGGGACAGTCCTGTTACTTGGAAGTTTAAGAAACAACCTACAGTATCATTATCTTCTGCAGAGGCTGAATACAGGGCTCTTAGAAAGAATGTTGCTGAGCTTACTTGGCTTGTTAGGTTGTTGGCAGACTTGGGACTTTCTATTTCTGCTCCAATTCCACCCAATTCATTTAGGCCCAAACGTCTCTGAAGATGAAATAGACCCAGGCCCACACACTTGACAGATTTGTAGTTTTGTAATGTTATTGTATCAATAGCCACAAATGTAATAGATAGCCATTTTTTATTGTTTAGTATAAATAGACAAATAAGGGTTAAGTTGTACATGGGATATTATTGAATATATATATTTCATCTTATCTCTGTATTTCAGCTCTCTCTAGAACACTCGATCTGGGGTTTTCTTCCAAAGGAATTCATGGATTCTTCCTCGTTTATCATCATTTTAACATGGTTCGGGTAATTGGACTCATTATTTTCAGTATATATGGATCATTAATATATACTATGTGGAAAACCCTGAAAAGCAATTCTGAAACACGGAAAAAAATTATTGGCTTATTAAGTTTTGATTTGAACCCATGTGATCGATTATTAAAGAAGAGAGAGGATTTTGAGCTCGCTTTTAAGTTTAAATAGTAGATCCGTCTCGGGGCGCTGCAAGGTTAATTAGTTAGATGGAGGTGAGAAAAAGGGATTCAAGCTGGTGACAGACAATTGCTTCTCTCAAACAATTACCAAATCAGTGCGGGGAGCAGAATTTTCACTAAGAAGATTCAAAATATAAAAAAGTTAATACGAGAAGAAGTTAAAGGGATTCAATATCTACTATTATATATACATAAAAATTAATTTTAATCACATATATATAGTATAGTTTTTTCGGCAAAGGAGGTACAGATGAATCCTTTCCTCCTGGCTCTGCTTATATACCAAACCACACGATAATATTACTATATCTAGCGAGGAAAGCGAGCTTGAACGCAAACCACGATAATATTATACATATATATTTAGAGTACAAAATTGTATATAATATTAGTGTAAATTAATGATAATAGCTAGTAGGTAAGTTACTACTTTTACCATGTTATCAATTAATTATTCTCATAGAGATTTGTAATATAATTTCTTATACCATCAATGTATAGACCTTCGCCTCTGGTATATATCTTTTCGTTACATTAGAAAGAAATACAGAAATGGAAAATTTTGTTTCCTAATTAACCTAAATGTTCAATCACTTTCAATGATCTGGAGTTGGGTCTTGACCAAACTGACCTACTAACTTGTCTTATGCTTATCTGAAGTGGATTAAAAAAAAGTATTTACTTCCCCTCAATTTCGGTAAAATGTCAAACATCTTCTCCCTCTCTGATCTATTCTGGTAACAAGTCATATAACAATCGATCAGATAAGTAGATTATACACATAGAAAAATTAATTTTTTTTATATATATTCACTATTTTCTTTTTATGATCATATAGTAGGAAAAAATAAATATTAAACAAGGACGGTATTGATAATATTTCAAACTATAATTTTCATTAGGTGAAGAGGTGCATAAAAAATGGTTACAAAAAGATTCTTTAGGTGTCACACAGATGATGTTACATAGGAAGGCTAGTAATTACAGAATGAAATAGATCATTGATAATATTCTACAAATATTGAAATCAAGCTAATATCGAGATTATACATTATTTTAGGGAAGTTAATCAAGTGACGGATCATAAGGTCAAGTCCTCCTCTTATACTCAATTTCAAGTAATACAAAGTAAACTTGAGAAACTTCAAAATTTAAAAAGAAATCAGGTAAAGAGGTGAACAAACTCCTAATTTTCCATGCTTCCACACACCCACATCTCATCCCAAACTTTTGAATCCTTCAACATAAATTTCTCTATAAATACTCATTACAACTTACCCCATAACCCAATCCAAATAATTTCCACTTCCTTTCCTCAAGAAAAACAAGTATTTATTTTATAATCGTGGTGCCCAAGCCACCTTGCCGTTGAAAAAAAAAACATTCTTCCCAATCATTTTTACAATGGCTACTTTCAAGAATGGCTTTGTCTTCTGCTTAGTCATGACTTTGTTCTTGTCAAGCATTAGTCATAGCTTTGCAGCTCGTAGCATATTGCAAATTCCACTGCCCACTATTCCTACAGTGCCACAATTGCCAAATATTTCAACAACATTGGCCCATTGCCATCTTTGCCAAACACACCTCTCCCAACTTTGCCAACAATTTCAACTACTACTATCCTTAAGGTCACTTTGCCTCCTATGCCTTCAATTCCCAATATTCCAAATATTACTACTCTATCGCCACCTCCATCGAACTAATTTTGAGTTGTTGCACCACTATTTACATGTACCTATTGTTTACTTATAGTATTTTTATAGACCAGGAGGTCACGAGTGGAAACAGCCTCTTGAAGAAATACATGATTGCATAAAATAAACCCTTGTGGTATGACCCTTCCCGCCCTCGGCTGCCGTTTATGGAGCATGTGACCATATTGTGTTCTTAGAGATTTAAGGATTTACTGGATTTTGGTGTTGAGTTTGAGGATATATCTTTGTACTTGAGCACTGTGATTATATATATCCTTGGGATGTTTTTACTATTGCATGCATTTGTTACTAGTAAATTATTATTATTGTTCGATTGTTTACTTTTCAGTCTTTTTCAATTTGCTCAGCCTTTCGTATGTTAAGTAAAGGATGAAATACTGCATTTGAATAAGTCCAGATACAACATTAATTATGAGCAGCCATAGAATCAAGGTTCAAATAACGCGTCATAAAATGATACGAAAATACTTAAATATACATTAATAGATACAACATATTATCCGTTTAAAGTACGTACTTAAAACGTGATGCAATAAAATATTTAGGACATATAGAGCGAATAACTCAAGGCAAATTTTGAGTTATATACTATTGCAGCATAATATATATGCATATTGTATAAGTTACAGTGGCATACTTACACTAAAATTCAAGGCCTATGTCAATGCCACGAAGTTGTTGGGAAGAAGAAACCCTATCATAATTCTAAGACTCATGGAGATTTGCTTAGAGATAAAAAAGAAGGGTGAAGAAGAAGAAGACCTAGAAGTAGTCGTGTATTCTGCCCACGAAAAAGTTAAGGGTCCTTCGGATGAGTTTATGATAAGATAAATTCTATAGTTAGTGGGTTAGGTGAATAGAATATAAGGGAACATAGTTAATGGGTTAGGTGAGAGGAATAAATATTTCTGTTATTGCATATGCAAGTCTGTACATATACATGTACAAAGCAATGAATAACACATGCAGAAAATTTTCCAATATAATTAGATTTCTTCTTCAATTTCGTACATGATATCAGAGCAATAAGCTCGATCCAACAGTCGAACCATCAATTCCATTTACATCAGATTCATTATCATAATCAGTAACCTAAAATGCCTGAAACAACCATCACATCTACTGGTGATACGAGCAATGCTGCAAAACCAGTCAGCTATGATATCAATCACCCTTATCATCTCAGCAACTCCGATTCACATGGAATGACTCTATTCAACACCGTGTTTGATGGAAGAGGATACCCAGGGTAGAGGAGATCTATTCTCCTATCTTTGTCAGCTAAGAAGAAACTTGGTTTCATCAATGGAGCCTGTAAATCTCCAGATCTGAAATCTCCAAACCATGAACAATGGAGTTGTGTGAATGACATAGTCATCTCTTGGATCCTAAATGCTCTCGTAAAGGATATTGCAGACAGTGTGATATACTCCAAAACTACAAAAGAGCTTTGGGACAGCCTGGAGCAGAGATTTGGGAGATCAAATAGAGCCAAGCTTTATCATCTGCATAAGGAGTTATTAGGTTTAGTACAGGGAAACAGTGACATTGCAGGATACTTCACTAAGTTCAAACGACTATGGGATGAATTAGATGCTTTAAATGTTATCATATGTTGTTCATGTGTTTGTGTTTGTCAAGGAAAGGCAAAGTTGACTAAGTCTCTTGAGGATCAGAGATTGATCCAATTCCTAATGGGATTAAATGACATCTATGCACAAGCAAGAGGAAATATCCTCACGTTGAACCCTTTGCCTAGCATAGATATTGCTTATTCACTTCTCTTGTAAGATGAAAATCAAAGAGAAGTTTATGCAAATGCACATTTTAATTCTGAATCAGTATCATTCATGGCAGCTGGAGAGGCCAAGCAGCATAATGCACAACTTCTAGCTGATTTTGCAGCTTTTATGATCACAGGACAAGAGAAGAATTATCAGAAACTTAGAAACCAAACACAAAGAGGAGCAACCATAGCACCCAAATATAACAACTCCGGGCTAAAATTTGTTCAACCTCAACAAAGGTTTAAAGGGAAAAGGAAGTACAATCCAAATGTGTCTTGTACTTATTGTGGAAAAACAGGACATATACAAGAGGACTGCTACAAAATTATTGGATTTTCAAAAGATTTAGAGTTCACCAATCACAAAGGTTATCAGAATCAAATTAAAGGAAATGCAATCCTAACACATGAGGAACGTGAGAATTCAGCAGGACAAAACACTGAGCTCAACAGCAGTAATTTTGGACAGCAACTCAGCAAAGAACAAATTGCAGAAATGATGCACATGTATAAGCAAGCAAAGTTAGCACATGCAGGAAATACATGAATCAATGCTAATGCAGTTGCTGGTACTATTCTAAAATACTCAGGTTCAGTGTTTACTAGTCTAAAATCAGACACCTGGATCATTGATTCAGGTGCCTTAGTGCATATGTGTTTTGAACATAATTCTTTCCTATTTTTAACTCTACTTCCTTTACCTTTGAATATCAGTTTACCTAACTCTTTCAAGGTGATTGTTACTCATATAAGGAGTATTTCTATTCTGCCAGGTCATATCCTGAACAATGTATTACTTGTTCCAGATTTTAAATATAACTTATTGTCAGTTAATAGGTTTTGTGTTCAGTTCAAGTATGATATCCTATTCAAATCTATTGGGTGTGTCTTGCAGGGCCTTTTAATGAAGAGTCCATAAGTTTTTGGTGAAGTTAGAGAGGGACTCTACTTATTGGAACCAAGTAGTGTTGAGTCTAAGGGGATATTCAGTAGTAATGTACTTTCAATTCCAAAACAAAGAAATTCCATTTCAGAGTCT